ACCGAGGACCTATCCTCGTCATCATTCACCCAGAATGCTTTGTGTGTAAATAAAATGGCTCTGTGTTAAAATATATTTTAAAAATTTTACAAAACTAAACATCCCACAGTATTTTTACAGTCTTTATTTTACAGTTAAAATATATGTTTATCAAATAAAGTCTAATGTTACAACTAATCAGGGATCCCTTTAAAGAAAAACAGGTGAGTGTCATGACTGGGCATAAAGGGAGCATCCCTGAAAGGCTCAGTTGTTTACAAGCAAGAATGGGGCTAGGTACACCAATTTAACAACTGCATGAGCAAATAGTCCATCAGATTTAAGGGCTCGACACACAGGGAGCGACAAACTACAGCGATTAATGGCCGCCATCGCAGCCAGGGTGAAACCCGACACACGGGACGCGATAGCGATGGTAGCTTTGCGAATCGCGCTCTCGGGGCGCTTGTCTTCACGAAATTTGATTGGTTCTTGTACTGCCTCTTGTAAAGGTTATTGGTGGTTCGCAAAAAAGGGGGGTGTGCATCACAGATGTGTAAACAAATCTTGCGATGCTAATGATATTGAAAAACAAACGCACACTAAGATACAATTTRATGAGGAAAAACTTACTGGATAACTTCACCCTGACGCCAACAAATTCCCACAAAGCTTTTTAGTAATCACTTGGTGAAAGTGTAAGCTAACTGCAGTGTGTAGCATACTCTCCGCTCATTGGTCAGTTAGTGAAACCCTTGCTGATTGTTTGTACGCTAAGCGACAGCGACAAAAGTTGAACATTTTTCAACTTTCATATGTCGCATCACAAGCTCGCGTGTGCACGTCTACGTGTACGAGTGCGAAATTTCACATGCACTATTTTCGCCGGTCGCTTAGCTGGAGGAGGGCGAGCGATTGTCGCCTCATCGCACAACTTCCATAGGAAATGAATGGAGAACAAGCGATGTCGCCTCCCGTGTGTCGAGCACATAAGAATGTTTCTCAAACTACAATTGCAAGAAATTTATGGATTTCATCCTCAACTGTGAGCTCCAAGAATTGTACGCACGCATCACTTTTACTTTTATCAGCATTAAGCTTCTATTCCACTATAGTTGCAATATTCACCTCTTTCTTGTGTAAAGATCTCTATTTTTGCACTACTGATTACCCCTCCATACCTARTATTTTTGTGTCGGTGTCCCACATTCATCCAAATCTGTGTCCTTGTTGTATTATATATTTAGTGTCACTTTTTGATTATTTACAATGTTATTGGATTGTGCCATTTTAGCTGATTACTTGTTTATTGCTGTAACTGGGAAGGAGAGTAACGCAATTTTAATTCTCTGTATGTTTTGCACATATGACGCATTGACAATTAAACTACTTGAACTTGATCTACAATCCATAATGTCATCAAAAGATTCAGAGAATCTGGACAAATCGTTGGAATCAGGGTTGTAGCTGAGAGTCAGACAATGTGCGCTCTGAGAACATGTTAATGTTAGAGCAGCAAGAACCAAGAGGCCCAAGAAGTCTGGTACCTGAACAGCTGAGGGCTTTCTACTCTCTGTTTCAGACTGGAATGTAACTGTTAATGTCTGCGTGCAACAACAGATGAAACCGGTTCATTTTTTAAGGAAAATCTAATCTGTAACTGAAGCAAAAGCTCCTCCGTCGAACAATTTGCTTACATTACTCTGAATTAGAATATTCAAATAATTACTTTAGCTCTGGGTGTTGTCGTTAATTTGAAATTAATCCTCATTCCAGTTCACTGAGACAAACTGCTTGGAATAAACAGTGTTGTTGCTTCTTACCGATCTCCATCTTCACCTCCAGCCTTCCTGGCCTCAAAAGGGCCTCGTCTATCAGGTCGGGTCTGTTGGTCATGCCTGGAGGAGGTGTGGAGATAGCAGGAAGAGGAAGAGGATGAATGACGGAGACGAGATAAAGAGCAGATGTTCAGGCATAGCGCCGGAGGCTCTATGAGAGTTTACATCATATAAACCCAGACAGAATGTGAGTGTGTTTTTCACCGATGACCAGGATGTTGTTGAGCTGCTCCACTCCGTCGATCTTGGACAGCAGCTGGTTGACCACCGTGTCGTGGACGCCGGTGCTGCCGGCCATGCTGCCGCGCTGCTTGCAGATCGCATCGATCTCATCGAATATGATGATATGGAGGCCGCTGTTGGCGCCGAGCTGCTCTCCGCAGACGGGAGGGGGGAGGAAGAGGACGGAGATTAATGTGTGTAACTGTTATATTAGAACATCTGCACCCGCTAGCAGGGAGGTCTTCGTCACCCCTCAAAGCCAAAAATCCAAACATTTGCGTATAAATCAGGCTTTAGAACAGAGATTCTTAACCTATGGGCTGCGAGCGCCACCTTGAGGGCCTCAAAAGAACAACAGCTTTTAACTTTGGGCCGCAGAGGGCCGCATTGAGTTTGAATAAGGTGCAATACACTTTCTCACCACTAGTAGCAGTAGTGCGCCACTCAGTTGTTTAACAATATTTTGAATATGAAGAAGAAGAAACTTAGAAACCTGCCGAGAATGGAAACCTATTTTAAATGAAAAGTAGAAGCAAAAATAAAAGTAACTCATCAAAAAACACCAAAGTCTGTCACTAATATGAAGTACAGCTTCTGTTTTTACCATGCAATGTTTTAAAAGTTCAAAAGATTATCAAATACAGTTGCAGATACAACTATATTTTAATTTGCACTTTAAATTAATTTTTATAGTTTATTTTTAAACGTTTTGAATGTATTTTATAGAAATTTTAAACTTGTCAAAAACCTGTTGTTACTATTATGGTGTGTCACTAATATGAAGAGCAGCTTCTGGTTGCAAAAGTTTAAAAAGGCTGTATTTTCATTTGTACTTTGTCAAATTCCTTTTTACAGGTTTTTTTAATTTGAAACATTAAACATTTTTAAT